GGTGCATGCCTTTAATCCTAGCAGCTCAGGAGGTTGAGACAGGAGGATCATGAGTTCAAAGTCAGCCTTAGCAATGGTGAGGCAGTGCCAAGCAACTCAGTGAGACCTGTCTCTAAATAAAATACAAAATAGGGCTGGGGATGTGGCCCAGTGGTTGAGTGCCCCTGAGTTTAATCCGTGGTACCCCCTATCCCCCAAATTTTTAATACTCCTCATTCAAAATGCAGACTAACTGATTTCCTTCTGAATGTGGACTGACTTTGGTGACTTCTAAAAATTAGAATATGGCAGACATGAGAGTATTCAACTTTTGAGGCTGGGTCATGAAAGATGTGATCACTTTTGCCTTCTTTCTGTTGATTCACACACCCTAGGTGAAATAAGCCGCCATGCCATGAGTATAGTCAAGACATCTAGGGAAAGGTTCACATGGAGATCTAAGGCCTCTCAACATTCAGTACTAATGTACCAGTGATGTGAGTGAGCCACCTTGGAATAGGATGCTCCAGCCTTGGTCAAGCCTGCAGGTGGTGGCAGTTTGACCAGCATCTTGGCTGTGACCACATGCAGAGACCAGGTCAGACTGCTCCGCTAAGCTACTCTCAAATTCCTAATCCTCAAGGTCTGGGTAGGATATTTATCACTTACTATTGCTTTAAGCTGATGAGTTTGGGGGCTATTTATAATGGCTCAACAGATAACGTTATACCATGATGTGAAAAAGATTGGGAGGGATTGCCTTTAGACCTCAAAAGAATAGAATATTTATATTTTGAACATCCCTAGCATTCTGGGAATATATTTAGAACTTCTAGAGTTGAGTTTGTTTATAAAATGATGCAGATCAACACATTTTAATGACACATTTGAGATAACAAGCACTTAAAAATATAATCAAAGCAAAACAAGGGTTCTCTGTCTTTGAAAACATACTTGCAACCACAATTACCAATACCAGCTTTAAAAGTTGGCTTTCTTTTTAAAACCAATCTGTTGTCATGGAAAGCACTTCTTTTTTGTATCATGGGGGTATTGGGGATTGAACTCAGGGACACTCGACCACTGAGTGACAATCCCAGCCCTCTTTTGTATTTTATTTAGAGACAGTGTCCCACTGAGTTGCTTAGTGCCTCATTTTTTACTGAGGCTGACTTTGAACTTTGAGATCCTCCTACCTCAGCCTCCGGAGCTGCTGGGATTATAGGAGTGCACCACCACGTCCCGCAGAAAGCACTTCTTATTTTTGTTTATTTTTATGTGGTGCTGAGGATCGAACCCAGTGCCTCACACATGCTAGGCAAGCACTCTGCCACTGAGCTATAGCTCCAGCCCGGAAAGCACTTCTTATAGAACAGAAATTATGGAGTTTAAGACAACACAATCAGGTATATGCTGTCTATTCATGTTTYACCTTCCTGAGATTCTTACGTGGTCATGACACTTGCACCCTGGACCTTCCTGAAGGAGGGGAGGCATGGATCTAAGTGGAAAGTTCTCTGATGAGCTTCCTAGAAAGGCCTTCCAGAGTAAAACCAAGAGGGCTCTTGTGGTGTATCAGATTTCTCTAATTTCCAGGAAACAAAAGGCTAAATTTGCTCTCTGCCTCAGAATGTTTGAAATATCTATTTTTAGATCAGAGGACCAATGTCTGAGATCTTTGTTTAGGCCATAAGTGCAGGTATACCCATGCTTTATTTATCATTGTTGCTTAAAAAATAAAGGACCTGGAATTAAGACCTGGAGTTAGCCTAGAAAGAGAACAAGCAGTCAAAGCCAATGTTAATGAGCTCAAGCTATCCAACTGCCTAAATGTCTAAGTTTCCCTTCTAAGTCTGTTCCCAGGGGTCTCAATTAGAATTCTGGTAGTTTTACAGAAATTTGCACTACTGTGGCTATTAATCTTTTTTTTTTTTTCTTTTTTGCACTGATGATTGAACTCAGGGATGCTTGAGATAAGGTTTGACTAAGTTGCCCAGATTGACCTCAAACTTGTTATCCTCCTGCCTTGGCCTCCCAAATATCTGGAATTGTGTGTGCTACCACACTCAGCCTGGCTATCTATATTCTAGACCCACACATCAGAGCCATCAAGTTAGTAAAGTTGGAGGTTTCTAGAACAGCACTATCCAGTATTATAGCTAGGAGCCACATGTGGCTAGTCCTAATTAAGATGTGCTATAAGGCTGGGCACCATGGCATACACCTGTAATCCCAACTACTTGGGAGGCTGAGGGAGGAGCCTTTGGAGTTTGAGGCCAGTCTGGGGAACTTAGTGAGACCTTGTCTCAAAAAAAAAAAAAAAAAAAAAAGGTGGGGAGAGTATTCAGTTCCTTAGTGTTAGAGTGCTTCTGGGTTCCCTAGTACCACCAAAGGAAATTAAAAAGTGACTTAGGAAGATGTGCATTTAGTATAAAAAGCAGCAAATTTCTAAGCATAGAAAAAAATGTAAAATGAGTGTAAAAGAATGTAAAATACCTCGTTAATTTTTATAATGATGACATGTAAAACGATATTTTGTATATATTGGGCTAAATAAAATATATTGACAAAATTAGCTTTACTACCTCCTTTTTTATGATTTAAAAAAAATGTGGCTACTAGAAAAATTAAAGTTATGTAGGTGGCTCGCATTATATTTCTATCAGGCAGAGGTCTTCTAGAAATTCACTCTCATTCATTTAGTCCATCAACAAATAGTTATTGAGTGTGTTCTGTGTGTTGAGTGTGGGGCCAAGGGATAAGAACCTGCCATGAACACAGTTCCTGTACTTATAAAACAAGTGCACTCACCATAGACCAAAAGAGATTGAAAAAAACAGAACTAGACTCCTGGTATCTAAAAGCAGGGGATAATTAATCAGAGATAATTAATATCTTGGGCTATTAGTGCTACTGGAGTTAGAAGCCAGCCCTATATAACTTAGCACCTAACCCCTATAGTTTTAGGCAAAATAGGTGTTGATAATAATGGCCATCCTCGAGTCACTTAGAAAAGGTGACATGCTATAGGTTGTGTTCTAGTCTAGTTTTGTACTGTGGCTACCCACATGCATATRTGATCTTCATCACTAAAATTAGAGACTTCAAAGGGCAGCTACAATGTTTTTTTTTTAAGAGAGAGTGAGAGAGGAGAGAGAGAGAATTTTTAATATTTATTTTTTAGTTCTCGGCGGACACAACATCTTTGTTGGTATGTGGTGCTGAGGATCGAACCCGGGCCGCACGCATGCCAGGCGAGCACGCTGCTGCTTGAGCCACATCCCCAGCCCGCTACAATGTTTTTCAACTTTGGTTTCACTCTTGTTTCCCATACAGATAGTGCTAAGTACCTATGGAATTGAAGTATGTCATGTGTGTTCATTTAAGAAGGCAATTAGGTATATAATATAATTTAGAAAGAGTTCTGCTCCAAGTGCCTAAAAAATAAAATCTTGGCACTTAAACTACTAAACTTCAATTTTTTTTTTTTTAATGTCTTCTTGGGCTGGGGTTGTAGCTCACTRGAAGAGTGTTTGCCTCATACACGTGAGGCCCTGGGTTCGATCCTCAGCACCACATAGAAATAAATAAGTAAAAATAAAGATATTGTGTCCATCTACAACTAACAAAAATTTAAAGAAAAATGTCCTCTTGGGCTGGGATGTAGTTCAGTTGTAGACAGCTTGCCTGATGTGTGAGGCCCTGTGCACAATTCCCAGTACCAAAAAAAAAAAAAAAAAAAAAAAAAGGTCCTCTTTCAGAATATAAACTAACGCCTACCTAATAAACAAAAAGTTCTGCAATATCCAAGCTAAATTCTCTCTCATGATCACCAAAATTAAAAAGTGCATTAGAGGTGCCAACTGGGTAATACTACTTGACCAAGTTCACAATTATACAGTTTTCTTCTTCCCTAAAGTTTCTTGGGTATTTTATAATACCTTAAATTGCCTAAATAACAATACAAGTTGCAAAGGGAAATATTTTGCTTGCAATTCTCATTCCATCTGTAGTAACAGTCAAGATCATCAGTCATATTAAAAATATATAATTTAATTCTCAAATAATAACTTTGTTCATCTTTCTCCTAAAGTACAGGGTGAAATGAATTCAATGATGAATATATTTTGTAGCAAAGAGCAAAATGTTCTGAAACAAAAGCAGAAATATTATCTTTTTAGAAAAAAGTACACTTGGTCCCAGAGAGGGAAAAAAGCAAGCAAGCAAGAAGAAGCATAAGGGCTCGGGGGGGGGGGGGGGAAGCTAAATGTTATAGAATTGCTTCCATTTACGCGAAAGCGTTCTCAGTGATTCTTGGCTGAGGGCAGAGTACCATGTATCCTAAATCAGTGCTTTGAGTGTGTTCCTCAAAAAAATGCTTGTTTAAATTAACAGGAACAATGAAGCAAAAATAACTATACAATAATGAGTCCAGCATTACTGAATGGATAACAATTTCATGAATAATCTATTCCCAAATTTCTAATCATCATAATATGCAGATTTTGAGTAAGTCTCTACCTCATGGACTTATTGAAAATGTTCTGTGCTTCAATGAGTTCATCCTCCCTTCCCATTGAAGAGGGGACTAGTGAAGTTCACTTAGAACAGGCTGCTGGGAAACTTTTCCACTTTTTCTTGTGCAATTTGAGTTTCTCTTGTAGATTCAAATACAGGCGAGAGGAAATCACTTCTTGGTTGGACAGGGACTGACCACTCAGTCGGCAATGCTGCTTAAGCTTGCTTTTTGTACATCGTGAAAATACACTTCAATAAATACAGTCAGCCCTGATTACCCGTCCTCTCACCCCACACAACCCCCTAGTAAGGCCAAAGTCTAGTCAGAATGCATTTGGGTATAATTCTATGGTCTCTTGACTCCTGAAGTTTCCAGAGCGCTGCCCGGCATGGGGTGTGCACCAGTCCTGAATGGCAGCTGTCTGGTTCTAAGTACTAGCGAGTCCTTCTCCAGGTCTCTGGGCCTCAGTTTCCATGGGTGAAGATGGCTTTTCTTAGCTGCCCTGTGACAACTGGGTTTCACATTTCCTGAAACTAGATCTGTGGAAGGAGTCCCTGAAATTAAGAAGTGGGGTAGAGGGGAGAACATAGAAAAAAAAAAAAGATTAATTAGCCTTTTAAGTAGAGGGAGAGGGAGGAAATCCCCCACCAGAAAAGGACATGGATCTTGGGGAACTTGTAAATAAATGAAGGTCCTGAGATCCCCTTCGCATTATGTGCTAAGAAAGATACCAACACAGGCCACACCCAGCCCTGGGAAGCCCACTGGTACTGGTACCAGGTCAAAACGGAGGGTGACGGGCAGGCAAGGGGGAGGTCCATGGCTCACACTCTAGGCTGCTTTGATTCCAGGCCCCCCTCCCACCTTGGGAGGTTTGTAGCTCAACAAGAGCAGCAGAGCATGCTGGGGGGCTGCCCACCAAGCCTCTCTCGTCCCCCAGGAAAAGCCCTCCTCTGCCCCCTTCTTACCTCTTTTGACTCTCAACTCTGAATATGGGCTTGTAGAGTTCTGGGATCTTCCGCTCAATCATTGGCCTGAGGTTCTCTTTCAGCTTGTTATAGTTCTTTTTGAGTTCTTGCTGATACTCCCTCTGGTCTGCTGTGATGAGACGCTTGTTTTTCTCTACTGCCTCGCCGCATCTGAGATGGAAATATCAGAGTGGGAGAAAAAAAAATGAGGTTTTATTTCATAAGAAATTCAGGGGTGATGTCAGTGTTGTACATTTCTTGAGTACCTGTAAGAGTGTTTGTAAACCTGGAGGCCTACCAGGATTCTGTGTGGAGCTCTTCAAAATGAAGATTTCTGGGCCCCACTTCAGACTTCATGAATYAGACGGTTTGAAGGATAACATCCAGGAAGCTTTGTGTTTTGGGGAAGTTGCCCAGGGGTATCAAGGACTCCTGAGCCAGAACTGTGAACCTCTGCCTTGATATGTGGTAAACGCTATGCAAGTTTTATATACATTACAGGTTTAATTTTCTCTGAAGCTCAGAACATGTTAAGATGCCTGCCCAAGATGGCATTGTGAGGAACTGTGGGTAGGCTTATTAAAAAAAATTCAGTGTGCTGGGTGTGGGGGCACATGCCTATTATCCCAGCAAGTCCGGAGGCTGAGGCAGGAGGATGGCAAGTTTGAGGCCAGCCTCAGCAACTTAGCCAGGCCCTCAGCTTCTTAGAGAGACTCTGTCTCAAAATAAAAAATAAAAAGGGCTTGGGATATAGCTCAGTGGTAAAGCACCCTTGTGTTTTCAATCTCCAGTACCAAACATAAAATAAAATAAAAGAGAGGGAAAGAAAAATAGAAATTGAAATTATAGGCTTGCATCACATCTGGGTATGAGTTATAAATTCCCATTCCTTCCTTATGAATGTTCCAAAGTGAGAAATTATRATAAAAAACAAACGAACAAACAAACTTGTGATTACTGAAATCCCTCAGCCTCTGAAACCTATGTGAAGTTCCACTGGAGGAACACTTTCTCAATCAGGGTGCGTGAGCTACCCATGGAAAGAGTGACTCCTGCCAAAGATGAGCTCATAATAGAAAATTATAATGAGGAAAATTATAATATGAGGAAACTAACCAGGATGGGAGAATGCACAGACATGGCAAAGAGAATTAGCCCAATAAGAATTAGAGATAATAAAAGAATGTAAAAAAAAACTAGTTAGCATAAAGAAATAGTGAAAGGTACAAAATCCAAGACAAAAAAAAAAAAAAAATCAACTAGCCAAACAACGAAAAGCCCAAAACAAAACCAAACAAAAATGAAAACCCACAGGAAACCTGAAAAAAAGAGACTAGGAAATTTTCAAGAGAACCAACTAGAACCCCTAGATATAAGAATGAATCTCTAGCTGGTCACAGTGGTGCACGCCTGTAATCCCAGCAGGTCAGGAGGCTGAGGCAGGAGGATCAAGAGTTCAAAGCCAGCCTTGGTAACTTAGTGAGACTCTAAGCAACTTAGTAAGACCCTGTCTCTAAATAAAATATTAAAAGGGCTGGGGATGTGGCTCATTGGTTAAGCGCCAGAGTATACCAGGTATAATACCTGGTACCGAAAGAAAGAAAGAGAGAGAAAGAAAGAAAGAGGAAAAAAAAAAGATAAAATAGATAAAACCCTCAATAAACAGGTTAAAAAAACAGATGTGACAGATCTACAGATGTCACCAGAGAGATAATGAGACATGAAGATGTAATGGAGAGGCCAAACCCACATCTAATAGAATATCCAATAGAAGGGAAAATGAGGGAGAGACAATATTCAAAGAGATAATGGAAGATGATTTCTAGAGTTAAAAACAGATGAAAATCTTCTAACGAACAAAACCAGATCTATGTCTGACCCCATCACAACAAAACCGCAGAGCATTAAAGACACAGAAAAATCTTTAAAACTCATCGTGGTTGTCTGACTTGTGGATTGTTAGACTTAGTTTCCACAGTCTCCCACAGGTATGCTACTTACCGAAAAAGAAAATCATGCAATTTAAATATGATAAAGTCGTCTTGCCTTTTGTTTTATACCGTTCTATCCAAGGGGACTTATAAATCAATAATCCCTAAAGGGACAAAGTAATGATTGTAACTGAACTGTCATGTAATGATTAGTAATAACTCTATTGTCTTCAAATGAATGAGGTTCAATATGATCAATACTGTGATCAATATGTTGTATTTTCCTAATAATGGTGTTAGATTTGGCATGCCCCAATGCTTCTGCCAGATATCCCTACAAACACCAAACAAAGTTTCAGGAGGACAGTCAAAGATGAGGAAGGTGGCACACAGCTATGAGGCAAGAGAAGGCTACCTGGCCCCTGGGAAAATTAAACCTATGAACACAGCTTCATATGCAACTAGCCTGCTACACAAGAAGGAACTGATTTAATTGAAACCAAAAGAACTCCCTTAACTGGATTTTCACCTATCTTTTAAGTTTGACATTAATTGAAGCAAATTGTAGGATACCAAAGAGTTATTTATCAAAGGCTTTAGGGAAGACCTGGGAGGGAGGTTATATAGCCTTTGAATCCTGAGAAATCCATATCACCCCTTATTATTTTTTTTTATTGCTCTTTAACTAACAGTTATGAGCTACCACCATGTGTGAAATAAAATCAGTCTCAGGATGACTTCAAGGCCAAGGTTAGCCACACTGGCAGACTCCAAGAGGCGGGACAAGGTCTGCAGAAGGTAACTGCTAATTTGAGGATGTCTACTGTAACAAGTTTGTCAGAATTAACCCTCTGTATTCTTTGTTTGTAGTAGTAACAGCAAGCTAACATATATGATTCCTACCCTGTGTCCTAGACTGGGTTCAATGTTTTATATGCAGACAGGACTAGGGTTGAAACCAACTCTACTCATTAGCAGCATGAACCACGGACATCCTCAATTTTATCAGGATGGAAAATGGGGATAGAATCTTATGTAATCTCCTAGGATTGTTGGGAGAGTTAAAGAAGATGTGAGGATAAGGTAGATTCGTGCTTCCATAGAGTGGCAGAGTGTCTTTTCTAAAAATGGCCACAGGAATATACTGTTCTAGAACTTTGCCCATTTCCTGCTTCAAGAGGTGGATGATCCTGTATGGCTGCCTCTGTGTGCAGAATGTGGTRGAAGTGATGCTGTGTGACTGGAGGAAAAGGCAATGTGGCTTCCCTCCCTCCCTCCTTGTCTAGACACATGCCACAGGACTGAGCCATCCTGTGAACAGTCCAATCACCTGTAACTGCCAATGCTGGAAAGGAGGATGGGAGAAGGTAGAGGGAGGAGAAACGGCTGTTGGAGTACCTCAGCACGACACCACACAGGAGAGAGGAAGCCACCTTCCACTCAAGCCCCAGCCACTGATGGCAACTGAGACACTCAGAGCAAGAACCTCCCACTAAGCCCAGAGCCACACACAGCAATTACAAGTTAGTGCTGTTGTTTTCAGCTGCTAAGCTTTGGGTAATCTGTCACATGGCAACAGAGAAACATGGTGTTTTGCAATATTAATAGCTAGATTTAAAATATTGATTTTATATAGTGATATTACTTTATATTCTAACAACTTTTATAATTTGTAAAAATGTATATTTGCTATATATTTTCCTTTTTACCATTTGGGTTATATCCTCCAGGATCTTTTACTAAAATTAAATCCATATTATGTTATTTTAAATCCATAAACTACAGAAGACTATGCACTAAATTTCCCTCTCAGAGAATAGCCATATCTCTTGGGAAATGCACACAGGATCATGAAACGATGGATGGTGCAAACAATTTTGTAAAAAGTCTTATCTGTGACATTCTCATTAGGTCCACAGACTCCTGAGCTGTGCTTGCTCTCTCTTAGGGATGTCCATTGAAGATATTCTGTGCCTCTTCCCTTCCTTGGTAAGCTCCCTGAASCCAGCATTTTCTTAAAATGAATGTGCTCAGGGTTTTCCAGCTGTCATAGTCCTACAGAAGCCAAGCTGGTGGGGACTGGAAAGGGAAGCAAGTTGGTCCTCCATAAGGTGGTTCCCAACTGTCTGGGGTCACCATACAAGGAGTCAGCTGTCTTCTACAGAGAGGGTGGTCACTGGCCCTCTCTTGCCCCTTTCTTCTGTAATGCTCTTTCAGCACAGCCCAGGCATCTGCCCTCCATGTGGCAAAACGTTGCTAGTTGCTTTCCTATTTCCCATTCCCTCTCTTGTTTAGTAACCAAACTCCAGGAAAAGTACCCATCTGGAAAGTTCTGTTTCCTAGCCTCCCTTTCAGGTAGGCATGGCTGGTGAGATACAAGATGAAATCACTTGGAAAATTTTTAAAGAGCATTTAAAAATTTTTTGAAACAATTTCATTTCTACTCCCTAGCAGCCCAATCACGACCATCAGAATGAGTGTGCTATTCCCAGGATAGCACGACAGAAGAATGGAGAGAACCAGGGGCTCTGATGACTGTATAAGGCCATTACACAGCTCTGTGTTGATCTCTGGCCTTATTTTATGTGTGAGAAAAATAAGTTTCTTATTTAAGTCATTCTTACTTATATTGTGTTATTAGCAACTGAATGTAATTCCTAGAGGAAGAGCAAATCGTAGTTAAGAGGACAAACTCTGGAGCCAGAGTGTTCAACTTCCAATCTTGCTTTGCTTCCTACTGGCTTTGTGACAGTAAAACAGTTATTTCACCTCTTGGTGTCTTAGTTTCTTCATCTGTGAAGTGAAGATAATACTAGAATACCCCATAAAGTAATGTTGAGATTAAATGAGTTAAAACATCAAATGCTTAGACAGGAACTGATGGACACATAGATAAAACCCAGAACGTTCAATGTTGTTTTTAGTATTTTTGCTGTTACACCCAACCCAAGCCCACTTGTGCAGTATGACCATGCTGGACTTGCATCCTTGCCAACAATGGAAATTTTATATTCCAGTTCCTCTAGTTTATGGTTGGGAAACTAAGATGCAAAGGAGGTAAGTGCCCTGTTGAGTCTCACCTACCTATGAGAACAACTGGGCAGGACATAAGCCAAAGATCCCGATGCTGTCAGGCCAGTGTGTCTCATCAGCCCCTCTGTATCCTAAGGTACATTACAGAGGCAGATGTCATGGTAGACATTCTCTATATTTCAATCAGATTAAGT